GGGTTCTATTGCAAAGAACTCGAAAGGACCACAACTATGCATTTCCATTTGATAACTCTAGGTTTATTTGGTGCATCATGTTTTCACACCTAACGGTGGTAACATTGCATGACACCCTGTGGCACCCTTGAAAGAATCTTAAGGCATCCTGGTTGAGAATCACTGTGCTAGAGGAATTGCAGAGAACAAGGAACCTGGTGGAACCCAGGTGTGGGTTGCCAGATGCATGTTTCCTCCACAGGTCCCACAAAGGGAAGCTATAAGTAATTTGCTCAGGATGTCAGGGACAGGGCAGGGAGTTGAATGTGAGGCCCTCAAGTTCCAGGCTACAACTTTAATATTGGACCATCTGTCCCCCCCCATGCCCCTAGTGGGAGGAGGCACACTTTCCACTGTGCTAAAGGGAGATGCTGAGGGGTTGAGCCAGGGAAACCCCCAGCCTAGAGTGATGGGGGCAGTGAGCAGCTTGCATATGTCCACACGGACCCTATTCCAACCTGGGCTATACCCTTTCTATGGGGAATGTGGAAGGGGGTCAACCTAGAACAATGCAACATTTAACCTGCTGAGACAGAGCAAGAGGCTGCTATTAAAAATAATGTCCTGTGGAGATGCTGTTAGGAGATCCCCAAGCCACCCTCATAGATGTGTTAGGGCCAGGTACTTACCAGGGGTGTGGTGCCGATCCATGCCAGCTGGCTGTGCCTAGACTGGGATTGCTGGTAGTTCCTGTAGAGCTGCATGCCATACTGGGAAGGAGACAGCATTTATTAGCATCAGCAGGGAAAGAACCAAAACTGGTGCAAAGGGCTCAATAGCAGCATTAGCCCTGGTGGCGCTGGGTTGCCCTTGGCGGCACAGACATGCAGGCCCCAGGTCCACTAACAGGTGTCACTGTTGGTGCTGGCATCTCAGCAGATAAAGGGTCAGGGCTGGGGGACACATACCTTGAAGAGACGGAAGGCAGCCATCCAACAGGTGCGGCTCTGCTCCTCTTCACTGCAGAACAGCTTCAGGCCCTTTGTGCCACTGCGCACCTTGTACGGCTGCAGGGCAAAGCAACAGCAATAATGCATGGTGCCGTCCCTAATGCTGGCAAGGAGAGGGCAGCATGGCCCTTTCTGCCCACTAACAAGCCTTCCTGATAGCCCTAGACCCATTCTATAGTTGGCAGCCCCAAGGGGGACTGCTGGGAGAAGAACCCAGGAGTCCTGAACCCCAGCTCCTTGATCTAACCATGAGGACTTGCTCCCCTAGAAATCCTGATTTCTAGACCTTCTGCCTTTGATAACTAGAAATGGAACCCAGGAGTCCGGCATCCTGGCCTCACCCCAGAAAGCCAGCCTGCTTCCTAAATCAAGAAGAGTTCAGGCCTGGACTGGATGCAAGCTGGACCGAGGCTCCCAACCATCCTACATCCCAGGCTCATCTGCCTTATCTCTAGGCTACACTCACCTGATCCCTGGCACTGGGACTCAGGCATCCTGACTCTCTGCCCTCCTTTGCTCTGACCACTAGATGCCACTCCTGCAGTTCTCCAGTCCCTTGCACCTTGGAAGTGTCTTAAAGGTCTCAGAAGCCTGGACCAAATCTCACTTTGGTGTAACCCAACTGACTCCTGCTGGGTTTAAACCTAGGATGAATCTAGCCCTGCATAAGCAGGGGTTGACTCATGCCCAGCTGAGGCCCCTCAGGGGGCAGTTGTTTTGGGCCCCTCACCTTGATGCAGAAGCTGTACTCGGTGGGTGTGCCATAGTACTTCTTGCCTTGGGTAATGTAGTAGATGTTGGACTCACTGAGGTCAGCGAAATACTGTAGGTGCCGGGGGTCCTGGGGAAGAACATAAGAATATAAGAACTGCCATACTGGATCAGGCCATATGTCCATCTTGACCAGTCTCCTGTGTCATGCAGTGGCAGAGAGCAGATGCTAAAAGGGGGAGGGAACTGGATATGACCAGGTTTTTTCCCATTGTTCCTCTCACTTACAGACTCCGGCATTTAAGGTCTAGGAAGTTCTGTTTCAGAGGCTGTGTCCTTAACATCCCATCTTTAACTTCTGAGGATAGAGCCTACCAATGCCCCTTTCATCCAAAAATTTGTCTTATCCCTTTTTGAATCTGACTAAACTGTCAGCTTTCACAACTCCCCGTAGCAATGACTTTCACACTTGGATGACATGCTGTGTGAAAAAGAACTTCCTTTTATTAGATTTAAATTTACCACTTACTAGTTTCATTTTGTGACCCCCTAGTTCTTGTTTTGTGAGAGACAGTAAATAATAAATCCCTGTTTACTTTCTCTTCACCATTTAGTATTTTGTAAGTCCTTTCATGTCCCCCCTCAAGCATACCTTTTCTAAACCAAATAGGCCTGGCCTCTTTAGACTTTCCTCATATGGAAACCCCTCCATACCATTAATCATCCTTGTTGCTCCTCTCTGGACCTTCTCTAGTTCTTCTCTATGCTTTTTGAGGTGTGAGGACCAGAGCTGAGCACAGTATTCATGAGGTGAACACACCATGCATTTATAAAGGGGCATAATGATACTTTCTGTTTTGTCTGCAATTCTCTTCTTAATGATCCCTAACATTTGTTTGTCTTTCTGATGGCTGCTGAGCACTGAGCTGATGTTTTTAGCAGACTGTCCACAATGACTCCCAGGGAGGAAAGCCATGTGCTGCGCTAAGGGGGCAGTCACGGTGCAGGGGCAAAGGGGTGGGGCAGGACAACCCTGTCCAGCTCCCAGCAGAGCACCAGGACACTACGCTGACTGAGCACTGGAGACTTAAATGCCCAGGGTCACAGTATAGAGAGTAGGGGATGAGAATGATCAGCTTAACAGAGCAAAGCTAGTTGGTTACTAGGATATCTGAGCCCTCAGTGAATTTATACAGCAGAGCAGACCCCTGATCCTGACCAGGGCTACTGCGGGGCCCAGGATAAGTGCAGCCCCCACAGAGCATGAAGGAGTGAATCATATGGCTTTAAACAGTCATGAGTTCAAACCCAGTTCTGTTTTAAGAGCCACAGCAGCTGTTCATTAGTGACACATTCACTGGGTCATTACAGCAGGGGTTTCTGGATTGAATTGCCTGGTCAGAATCCCCCAACCTCCCACTTATTTGGCCATGGTCCAGTGGTAGCAAGGCACCACAATCTCTGCATGTGGTCTGGCCACCACTAGAAGGAGACAGAGCCATTCCCTGTGGGCCTGGGTCATTATATCAGTGTAGCATCAGTGTCACATGGAAATAAGAGCCTATTACTGCTGCCAGCTAAGGAAGATGTTCCTCTAGTTGGAGTGGTAAGGAACCTGTGATTCAGAGCTAGACCCCTGATAACTAGGGTCAGCTACATCTATAGGAGAGCTATGGTCATAGGTAGTCTGTAGCCCCCACCCCCTTGGGGCACCTCCTGGTGGTGCTGAGGTAAGGAAGTGTTGAATGGCACCCACCCCCACCCCAGGGCTTCAGCCTCACCTTGGATGTGCCCTTTGTGGAGTAGTAAAGTCCTGAGCGCCGCAGGGAAAAATAGAACCGCTTCCAGACCTTGCGCCCAGCCTCCTTCAGGTGCAGGAAGCCCTGGATCTCTGGGCAGCTGCCAGAGTTGAGGAAGTTCTGCAGGAGAGGAGAGCAAGGCGGGGGCGGTGGGAAGAAGGATGCCAGCAGGGGAGGGGGTGGGGAGTAGATTAGTAATACTTAACATGGGCCCCATGCCTGCTGTTGTCAGGGCATCAAACTGTGGCATTCAGCACTCTGCCTGGTAGTTCCTTGGCTTCAGCCCAGGTGCATTCTCCCTCCACTCCTGGCCCCATGGTGCCACAGACTGGCATGGTGTCTGTTTACAGGGTCCAGCCACATGCGTGCCCTTCTGATGGACCATTCCCACATGCCCAAGGATCAGACCTGGGGACCAGCAGGGGTGGCTTGCAAGAAAGGGAGAGAGGAGTGAGTACCTGGATGAGCTCTGAGTGGGACATGCCCTTGTTGGCATCCAGGCAGCTGGAGACCATCACCTCAGGGAACAGGGACTGCTGAGAGCAGGGAAAGAGAAGATGGTTAGCAGAGATTCTGGGGCAGAGATGAGGCATCACAGCAACAGCTGACATTTTGGTAGGAGTCAGATCAGCTTCCCTTGAGGCAAGACCAGTGGACTTACAACAGGCAGGACTTAACACACTGGGGAGCTGGCAAGTTGGCATACCCCTCCTGCTGATCTCTGGGCAGCAGGAGGGAAACTCTCAAGCCCAGGAGCATTAGTGTTTGGTGCACATCCCTAGCTGAACAAATTCAAAAGCCTGAGAAGTCTGGGGAGGGGAAAGCAGACAGAACCTCCAAGAATATGGCAACTCTGGGACCCCTCCAGTGAGCACCTTTCTCCCCTCTGATCAGGGTTGATGCACGATCTGGGTTGGCTGAGAGTCCTGAGGCTGAGCTATTCTCTGTGCCAGGGATCTTCCCTGGGCATCCTGCCCCCTGAGACTTGGTGAGACACACTGACTTCTCTATGCCAGGGATCTTCCCTGGGCATCCTGCCCCCTGAGACTTGGTGGGACACACTGACTTCATCCCACCAGCTAGAACAAGGGAACCTGATTGAATCCCAGTGTCTGTATCAGGCAAGTCCCCAGCATGCACTTACTGGGGAACTTTTGAACAGCTCATACTTGGCAAAGTTCTTCCGGAAAAAAAACTTGCAGTCCCCCCCCACAGGCCAAGTGGACTGCACCTCCACCACAGACTCATGGTCTTCCAGGCACCGCTCTGCAGAGGGGAAAATCCCATGTTAGGAACAGCCCTGCCTGCTGTTTTGCACCATACCATTCTGGCTTAGCTGGTGCCTCCCTGTCTCCCTCTAGAAGTGGCCCCAGCAATGACAGTGCTTTGCAACCTACTCCCAGCTGTGCCAGTGGGTCACTCGCCACAAGCAACAGAAGCTTCAGCTATGGTTGCTGAGGGTCTCTGATTTGACATGTCCCCAGCCTGTGGCTTCATGCAGATGTTTGCCTGTGGGTGCATGCAGAGCTGGCCAGGTGAGTCCCACCCAGCCCCAAGCACCCAGTTGCATAAATGTGTTTGCATGTTCCTGGTTCCACATGCACAGAGCTGGCTGTGCTTGTCCCCCCACCCTTTAAGCCTGAAGTTGCACACCAGTCATACAGTGATGGCCATACAAGCTGGCTATACAAGATGCCCCTGGGATGTGCCTGTCTGCTCACCCAGTGCCAGGTGCTGGTGCAACTCCACCAGGGACCAGCTGTCATCATGGAGGGCATGGGTCTTCTGCACCAGCATCTCACAGACATGGCGTGCTGTGGCACCTGCTGTGACCTCCACAGAGCGGCAGGTGCCATCTTCACTGAAGACCTTCACCACCTGCAGGGAAAAGGCAGAGGTGTGATGCCAGGTTGAGTACAGCCCCTGTTGCAGCTCCCTTCTATCTCTTGCCTCAGATCGGAAAGCATTTGATCCTGGGACCAATACTTCCTGCTGCAGAGGCAAGAGCTAGGGATGGGAGTTATATCAGCCATCCCAAGAACAAACCCAAGACCTGCAGAGGTTTAGCTTCCCCCCAGGGTATATACAGGCATTGGCCATCTGGATCACCCCTGAGCTCCAATCATCCAGTTTCCCGTGCCAGCTGCTCCAGTAAGAATCTGAAAAGCAGACAGGTGTAGGCTCCTCTGTGCCCCCATTAGCTTTCAGCTGGGTAATAGAGTAATAGAGAAGTAGGGCTGGAAGGGACCTCCAGAGGTCATCTAGTCCAACCCCCTCCCTGAGGCAGGATCAGCACTATGCAATCCATAATCTAAACTCTACATCAGACTACTGTCAACCCTGACACAACACAGACTTAACACCGTAATCTGCCACAGGTAAAGTAGGGGAACCACAGCAGCCAACATCCTGTTTCTATGAAATCTTAAAAGTATACGCTCAAGAGGTCCCTGGTACAGGGCTACATCCCCCACTACAGAGGAAAGCAACCCTCCCCCGCACCCCCTCCACGATCCACACCAATCTGACTATGGGGTAAACTTCCT